AACAACGAGTCATCGATATATACATATATCAATAACTACAAACAAATCGAATAAAGAAAAATGAAAAAGAGATATTAGCATGGAAACCTGAGGGTGATACAGATGGTGTCCTTTGACAGTTTTAGAAGTTTATTCAAAATCTAGAGTTCTAAGGAAGCGAAGAGAATCCTATGGAATCCTTCAGAATCCTAGAGAATCCTAAGGAATCCTAGAGAATCCTTGGAATCCAAGGGAATTCAGGATTCCGTGCTTTCCCCCTTGGTGGGGGGACTTAGACTTTCACTATTACACACATATACATACACCGGCACGTGATGATTTCTTGCAACTCGATACAATAATCGATAGTTAATTTCTGAAATGTGTAATATTTTATGCGTTTTGCGGAAAACCAAGCAAAAGTACATATTATGTACATAGCGTTGGGTCGAGATCTTTTCTACATTAAAAACATTTTCGTTTTTTAACTTAAGAGTATAATGAAGATGATACAGCCATATTGACAAGGGGTCCTTTTACTTGTTTTTTTATCGTTTTACAAAGTACAGTTTGAAACACATATGGTAAAATTTTTTCGGTCACCGAACTTGTAGTTTTGGGGAAAAGAGGTTTTTTAAACTTTTCCCCGTTGTTTTACCCAATTCTTAAAATTTCAGTAAAACTTTCGTTTTTCGAGAGATAAGTTTGAATCTTTTCTCATTCGATAGACTGTTTTGAAATGTAGCTACAAAAAAGTTTTCATCGCTATCGGATAAGGACGAAAATTTTGAATTTGGCTTGCCCAACCAGTTTTGGTACAAAAAGTCCTTTGAAAAAACCTTGCACAGCGTTTCGCTTCATTATAGAATAAAACTGTGTGAACAAAAATTGTTCAGTATCAAATTTTACACAGGCTTACGAAGAAAAATCTTGAAATTTCAAAAATTAGATTTTTAAATCCGAAAACACTGGTTTTAAAAACTTAACTTAAAAATCGAGTCTTCAAAATTGCAAAATTTTCCTTTGTGAGTCGGTGTATAATTCGATGCTGAACAATTTTTGTTCCCGCAGTATTCTTCTATAATGCTTTCCTGAAGTGAAACTCTGTGCAAGGTTCTGGACAATTTTGCGCTCCGAAACTCTGAAAAATCGGTCTGAAAATCTTTATTTTTTTCGATTTTTGACACTTTCATTTGATATGTGTATGAGTTGAAGATTTTCTGAACACAATCCTCTGGCTCAGAAGATAAGAGAAAGTAGCGTAAAAATTTGAGCGCCTTTTCTCCGCATGCAGCATCTCAGTATTTTCAATTTTAAATATTGATCCTAAGAAATTCAGCTGTAGTAAAGTATAAGATCATAGAATAAACATGATAAATAACTTCTACGCTCATATCTCCGCTCCAAAAAGCGTCCCTACAGACAATTGTGCGGCCAAGGCATTCAAAAACGAAATACACTTTGTACCGTGCAAACTGTTGGTTTGAAATTTTTATACCATAAAAACGAAACACTCTACTTCATTTAATTTGTTCAGTTTGTAAATGTACACTGGTGAGCGCATTTTACGAAATGAGACCATTTTACGAATTTCGTAAATGCACATTGCTAGATCGAAGTTTTATACTACTCACTAACTTTTATATTCGAAGGATTCTCAAATGGCAAGTGTATGATAGAATTAGACAATTCGTAAATGCACCTTGCTGCGCGTGGATGAAGAACAGGAATTTAGAAATTAGATGTTGCTGAAAATTTTCAGCGTTTTACGAGTTCGAAAATACGACTGGTTGAGGAGTCAGCTAATTCGCAAATGCACTTCTGTAGACGCGTGAATTTGCAGAAAGCGTGTTGACCAGATTATCATATCAGATTAGATCTATGCTAACTATCAAAATTCAAAAACCTTTACCCGTATGTCGAAAAATCTGCAAATTGCTCGCTTTTTGCACTTCGCAACCAATTCTTATGCAAAATCTGAGAATTCGCAACTGCACCGCTGTTAAAGTAGATCAAAAGGGAAAAGGGTAAGTAGACCTCTAGGTCAACAAATCTGCAGATTACGTGTACTTTGCACATTGCATTCAATTCGTATGTGCAAACTGCGAATTCGCTTTTATCTCTAACGTGAACGGCAGTGAACCTGATGTCGTTTTCCGCTATTTATCATACGTACTCATCTACGAATTTGCACAATTTAATACGGATTAACTGCAATGTGCAGCGTGCGCACAATTTTGAGATTTTCAGAGCCGTAGGGAAACCTTTTCTGAAATTTAGATATGTATCAAAGCTATTCTCCTATGAATTAATTGCGATGTGCAGGGTGGTAGGAACTTGCAGATTCGAACACCTGGATTGAAAATGTTTTCGATTTTCATATACATTCAGATCTAGGCGCTAACGAAATTCGTTTTCGAATTTCGAATTTGCATAGTTTGACGAATTCGATATGGCATGTTGTTATTGTAACTCTGGCACTAACAATGTGCAAAATGGCACATCGCCACCATTGTTAAACTGACGTTTAAAAAAGTCAGACAATTTTACCGAATTCGTGTCTGCACATTAGTAAGCATGTTTTCAACAATGTACAATTCGCGAACAGTTCGAAAATGCAAACTGTTGAGACATAAAAAAACGTTCAACAGTTACTGAATGCAATTCGCTTCTCGATACACTTCGCAGATTTGGTATGTTTACACAGTGGTTGAAGTACCGGTTAATTGCACCGAAGCACAATTCGCACGGGAGAGCGCCATCTGCGAATTCGTGTTTGAACACCTTGGCCGCATCACTCCCTATAGAGATGCTGTAGGCATGATCTCGAAAACTCAAGATCAAACCCGACTTTCTCCGCCAAACCTTGTTCGAGAACAGTGACAATCCTATAACATATACATCTCGGTGTGCTCTATCGATTGGTTACAAAACCGAGGTTTCAAACTGAAAAATAAAAATTTTATTTTAATTTTAAAAATGGGCAAAAAAGACCGAAAGAAATTTAAAAAAATTTTCTAGAAAACTACAAGTCTGTAAACCTCCAAACTCTTTTCATATATATTTTGAAATGTCTTCTACAATGTGGCAAAGTTTGAACCAAATCTAAAATGGGGGGAACCCTCAGCCCCCTTCCCCCTTAATTATTCATTTCATAAAGAGGAAAGAGAAAAATAGTGGTCTTGGTTTCCTCTTTTTCTTTCTCTACATCTTGTTTTTGTACTACCAGAAGGTAGTGGATAGAAAGTCTTTACTATACTTGAGCGGAACTCTGTGGTGGACAATCAAATTAACACTGAGATGGACTATCTCCTCTAAAGCTAAATGCATTCAACAGAAATAAGACCAAGCCTTACCGATTACCAATAACACTTTTTGATTTAATTTTGAAGTTTATTTTCCTAAAAATATTTATGATCCAATAGAATATATGAATATATCTTACCTGTAATAGTAAATAGATTCTCGCTGTTATTCATATAGTGAAGTATTTTTTCTCTCCCAAAAACAGATACCATTGTACAGAAAGTATTTTTCGCTCAGAGATAATAGCAATTTAGTGTAGTTAAAATTAATATAAAAAAACACAATATTATTCTATCCTACTAATAAAAGTGAAAACAACAGTCACAGAAAAAAAATAGTTTATTTACAACAATGTTAGCTTTATACCTGAGAAAGTATTCATTAGCTGTCCCGAACCTGCAGAACAATCATCGACATTGAAAAGGAAAAACAAAAATATATCACAGACATATATGACTATAAAAGAAGAAAATGGAAGTGTTTATATGTGTGTATGTATGCGTATGTATGTAACAGAGAGAAAGACTCTCAAAGTCACGTTAATAGCGCACGTATACTCGTTTATTAACGAAGAACGTTATCCTTGAAAACTTTCGTTAGAAAAGACTCAGCGTTTTTGGCTTGTCAGATGAACTGATAATATCTATCTGTTATGAAAGTCAGTTTGGTTGACACATCTTCCAGAGAAAAGTAATAAATATCATCTTAATCGTTTATCCGGAAAACTTCACTGTTTGGAATTTGGTTTTGTGCGTCAACCTCACGATCTTCTTAGAAGCTCTCAGAGACCAATACCGACCGATCTTGGCAGTTATCAGTGATCATACTAGCATTTTGAATTTTGCCTAATTGATCATACTCAGTAACGGTTTTTATGTGCTACAAATCATCTGCGTCGAGATTTGTTTTCATGGATGACATAATTGACTGTCGTTTCGTCGTTGGATTAATCATATCTCGTGGATTGATGTACATGTTCAGTTTTCTCGATGGTATTTCTTTATAAATTCCACCTCCACCGTTACTTGTTGCACTTCCACCGCCATTCGACGATGAATCTAACGATCGAAACTTTGTAAATGTATCAGTATCGGTTGTATGTGGTGACGGATTAGTCAATGCTTGAAAATAATCTTTGTTGACATCATCATTTATAAAGTCATTAGTCGACAAAGTTTTACGTTTTAAGCGGCATTGATTCAAAGTATAAAGACCTAAAATGATGCAACAAAAATAGAATAATTTTAAAGACTACGAGTTATTTTTTCTCCCATACATATAGTCAAAAGTGATCCAAGCACGAAAGAAATTGTACCACATAATAACAGATGTAAAAATGTAAAACGACGATCATTTATGTTATATAAAGATGATGTAAGAGATGTTTCTAAAAAGAAAATAAGTATATTTTTTTGCATTATTCCATAGCTGTAAAAATTTCAATTAGTAACCTTGATGACAATCTCCTATGCATTGTTGTTCTTCCCTCGATCTTCCTTCACATTGAGTTCCTTGACACTGTCTTGTTCGATACTTGACACCTTTTCCACATGAATTTGAACACTCCGAATAATCAGACCAACATGACCATCCACCCTGACATATTGGACAATCACGTTGATCTAGATCATTTCCCAAACATTTATCACCTAAACAAGTACGACGACGGCTCTGTTTGCCACCACTACATGGAGGATAACATTCTAAACCAGAAAATACTGACAAATTTAAAATTATGTCTGTAAAAATATATACTCATCAAATTAACTATAGAGCCGATGGAAATGATTTGTGCAAATATCATTTTTGATGGTAACTTACCGCTCCAAGTAGACCATGCTGTCCATTCATAATATCTTAAATTATCGATTGAGTCTAAAATAGAATTTTGAAAAAAATTCATTAGATACTACAAATAGATGACATTATGTGTTTACCTTTTTCTTCACAATCTACTGGTATTCCTTCGTAATCACGGCAGACTCTGTAAGATACTTTATCTGCCTTTAGTGTTGGTTCTGAACTACACACATAACGAATGCGTTTCTCAGTATAACCACCAACAATAGATTGCAATCGGATCCATTCTCCCCACAAATATGCTTGTTGAACTAAAAGCAAAAATGTAAAAAAAGGGATGACTTCTGCGAAAAAAGTACCCGTTCCTTTGTGAGTGGTATCACATTGCTTACTTGGACATGGTGTTTCATTACATATACGTGTCTCTTCTGTACATTCCTGGCAATTTTCTATACCAAAACATGTTCTTCGTCGTTTCTGAATTCCACCACCACATCGTTTGCTGCATGTGTCCCAATCTACAGGAATGAGATATGCTATTTTGTTAGACAGTAGAGGTTATTTCTTTTTTTATAAATTTTACCGCTCCATGCCGTCATCTTTATGTCTTTATTTCCATCTTGGGAACACAAAATTTCTGGACACATTTCTTCTTCTCTCTCAGAACCAACACAGACTCGTCCGTTATATTTTGGCACAGGATTTGTACATGTTCGAAAACGAGAACGATAAGATTTTCCACACGTTTGACCACACTGAGTCCACAATGACCATTGACTCCAACCGCCATGTACTAAAAGAAATGAAACAACTGTTTATTTCAAAAAGAAGAATGAAAAGAATTTAGAATTAATGGTGTCAATGCCAAATATGTAATAATAAAAATTGATGTCTCTCAACGAACAAAGACAAGTGTTTTCGAGAACAATTTAGTTTAAAGCAGTTTATGTTGTACATGAAGTGAATAAAAGAGATTTTTAGTATTCTATTCTTCTGTTGTATGTTGATGACCTTCGTTCCACTCACTCGCCTGATTTATTCTTTTTAATTAAGACTATATTTTACCTTCACATTTCGATATTTCAACTGTTATTCCTTCACATTGTTTCCCATTGAATCTTGGTGAAGGATGAGTACATGTTCTTGTTCGACATGAACAACTTTCACCTGTGGATTGTTGACATTGTGACCAAGATGACCAAGGACTTAAACCACCATCGACTAGAATGACACTTATGACAAAAAATATACAAATAAATTAAAAAATCATTATACTTGTTAAATTGAGTATCGGACATGTCCAACTTGTTTGTATATTATAATTTCTATGTACTGTCGTATAAAGTACACATCGTTGATGATTTGGATCCCACATACAGTATGGATCCATAGCACCCATACATAATAGACTTGTATTAAAACGATCACATCTCACTACAGACAGCTTCATGACTGATATCGGAGTTGTTAATATCAACTCTTTCTAAACAATATAAAATAACATTCGAGATTGACCGAAAAAGATCTTCAAAACAGTACACAAAGATTTTAGTTTTTATTCATCATTTAATTTTACCTCGCTATATCACACTATAGAGAACTAGATGATTTCGTGTATAAGATAAAATTCAAAGTTAATCTAGAACTTACAGAATCCTGCAGAAATGTAGCTTTGTTTACTGTCCAATCTTGAATTGAAATATCTTTTGGTTTGAGACTAACTTCTTCAACGAGACATAATTTCGTCATTGAATTAAGTAAGGAATATTTTCTTAATAAACGTCCATCTAATGTAATGACAAGTAGAATAGTTATTTTATCTTGATTTTTATATATAAGCGTATCCACAAATAAATGACCAATACGAATAGAATCGAGTTCTAGTGCTTTGAATGACGGTCGAAATAAACCCGAACGTAAAACAGGACGAATACCACCAGGAATAAATGTACTGAAGGACGATGTAGATGAGGACCCATGAGATTCACACTAAAATGTTTATAGAAAAATACAATAAAATTATTAGTGTTTATACAGATACGACTTCTTGATAGAAGATAAGTTCTGCAAGTAGTAAAGTAAGAATGCAGAATACTTTATTTCGTTTTGGTACGAATATGAATATGATAGAATGGATTAGAATAGTACAGTAGCCGTAGTCACCTTCTCTGTATCTTCTTTTTGATCATTTGCTGGCAACCAAAATGATTCATTTGACTTTTGTGATAAAAATGGTGTCGAAAATACTTGAGTTAAATTTTCGATATCGTAGATGCACACAGCAGCACCCAACAAACCATTTCTAAGAATAAAATTCATATTAGTTATATAATTATCTAAAATTTCTTCTCAAACTTACTTTGGTGCGTTGAAACCGGCATAGATCAATTTATTTTGATAATCGTAATACAATGTTTCCAATTCGTTAAAATAAAATGTAGTATCACCTTCAATTGAACAGTTTATTCTAACTTTTGAAAATGTTTTGAATGTATCAGAATACTTCATTAAACCATCATCATATTTACATAATCGTGCAACACGAGAATAAACACTCTAGAATAACCAATAAAACGACTGGAGAAAAAATGACAAAAATAAATAGTAGAGAATTTATTTAGAACAATATTCCAATAAAAGTGCCTTTAGCTATGCAACAAATCTTTCAGATACATCTAATGGATATATTCGAATTAGCGCTGAAATATTCAAGTTTGTGCAATATTTTCAAAAAAAAAGTTAATGTTTATTCTCTCTAATTCACTATAGTTTATAAAACTTTGTCGTTCTATTGTAATGTTTGAACTGTTTCATCATAATCTTAATTATTTGACTAGAAATATATGTTTGTAATAGGCGTTAGTAATTCTTCCTGTTGACGTATTACGAAAATACTAATTTTACTTACCGTTCCACATGCTAAATGTTCTAAAGCTGTTTCTCGAAAAAACACGTAAATATAGTTATCAATTTCGATTATTTGCACAAAATATGGATCTAAAAATGTAGAAGTAAAGAAGATTAGATATCGAACTTATTAAAGATATAGATCGTACTTCTAAGCCAATTTGAATCGTGTTGTTGCGTCCTTAATTGTTTGGTTTGTATTGATAAACTTCGTTCGATTAATACATCAGAAAATCCAACTATTTGTTCACTACTAGTTCCAGAATAAAATTCACCTAAAAAACAAATTAATATTATTTTCACGAGTTTTCTTGTAGAAAAATCAATTTTTGTTTCTCTCACTGTTATTTAATGCTAGATATGCTGATTTAAATTTGCTATTATAAGGACATTTTCCATCTCCTGATATTTGATCTCCCTGAACACCACTAATAATCGATGATATTGAATTTGGTTCTCTCCACGTACATAATGGTTTATAAGCGAATGTTCCACATACGAATAATTTATTATCAATTAATGATAATACACGTATATGATTTTGACATTCAGTCTAGTAGGGTCAAAAATGATAAATTATTATTATAAGAATAAAGAAGTTTTGTATGTCACATACTAGAGACTGAATTTTACTTCGACAAGAATTTATTTCATTAGTATTCGGTTCCCACTTCAACACTTCATTAACTTGAAAATCACTCAACTTCAATCGTAAAATGTAGTTTCTAAAAATAATACAAATAGAACAGATTGATAACATGACATTCGAGGTCCACCGTATATATTCTTATTAAAAAATGCTATTATTCATGGAACAACAACAATTATGGAAGGTCTATGCAATCAACGCTACCCAGTCTAGATCGGCAACACAAAAACCCATTTAGATATAGCTCTTCAATTCAACACTTATAGTATAAGTGTGTTTTATTCTATGTAAAAAACATCGTATATAAGAGAAAATAATTACATAAACAAACAGGCAAACAAGAGTTAAATCAATTAAAATTAAGAATTAAATTCATCGTCCAATAGAATGTGAGTGCACTACGCTGCTTGCTCATTAAAAACAAATATAAGATTTCTAAACTTATATTTCTTTTAAACAAAATTTGCGTCAATTTTTTCATAAGAGAAACAGAACAACATTAGAAAATAGTGAAGATTTCGTATTTCATGCAATGGTTCATCGTATCCCTCTACCTCCAGATGTTCAAAGACGTGGACATTAGTAAACATCATACCCATGCAGATGAAAAAGGTCGTTTGAGGGGTGCGGCGAGTACTCGAAACCAGGCCCTCGCCGAGGGTTCGACCCCTCCAAAAATGGCACTTCAGACCCTCGATATAAGCTTTCGTGGGGTATCGATTGTGAGCCCTCGGATTTCAGATAGGTAGGGAGCCGTCGAATAGAGATGTTCGAGACTTCCGAGTCCTCGTCGTCCAAAGGTGCGATGTTCGGGACTTTCGAGCCCTCGCTCTCTCGAGGGTGCGACGAGGGCTCGGAAACACCTCTCGAAAGCTTATATCGAAGGTCCGAACTGCCATTTTTCGAGGGCTCGAGGCCTCGGCGAAGGCTCATCGAAAGCATATTTCCGAGCACTCGAAGTACCCCTCGAACAACTGGCTGGGTAGAATCGCTATAACAAGATGACTATGCATCGCATAAAAAAAAACGGACTATTTTCTAGTGTAAACTGACCGGAGCGGTAAACGGTTAAAGCATGTCAAATAAATTCATCAAGATTCATTTTAACTTTTTTTACGCTAACTAGACAACGAAATCAATTTTAAAAAAAACATAATTCAGAATATTTCAGTAGAATTGAAGAAGTAAGGGTAAGTAAGATATCTGAAGTTTGATGAATGGCATCATATAGAGTAGATAAATTACGTGCTCATGCTCATCACGTATTTTTATGTTTGGAGTGATAATGAATATCGGTATCTCGCTGCTCAATTCTGAATATAATTTGTTTAGTAGACAACAGCGCTAGTGAAATCGTTTAACTCTATTTTTGTTCTTCGATTCTAATTATAAATTGAACAAAAAAATAATAAAGTGTCAATATACCATTGTCTGTATCAATATAAATAAACGTTCTATTTATAAAGTTTGAGAAGTTTTTAATTGCCTATTTAGTGAGAAAGACTATAAATGTTCTATACATGTAATCAGAGACTAAACAATTACCACCTATCTATAAACGAAGGTACCTACAGTTCTCTTTTCTTTGTTTAACCCAGTCAAGTATGAACTTGAAAGAATTGAAGAGGAATCGTTTTATGTGAAAGTATCAGCCCTTATTTTTCTTTTCGTTTTGAACTTTTATAATGGACATAAAGTGAGAGAAGTGTCAATAGGTAAACAATTCAAGCTTATGTAAAATGATATCGTCGATTCTTACTTAGCTCCAATAATAATTTGATCTCGTTTTTCGTCATCAATCAATATTTCACTGTACGTATCAATACCATCTTGTCGAAATATTTGCACCGAACGTAATAATTCTAAAAACAAAAAGATCAAATATCAAATAAGACAGCTCCTATGGTTGTCTACCTTTTAAATTTATCAAACATTAATGTCTCATATCCAATTACATCAAAGCTTGTTTACATGCAAAAAATTTCTGATAATTTTCAGTTCAAAAAGATAGAAAAAAAATCAATTAAAAAAAATAATTCAACTTGTGACATCTTGATAAAAGCGAACTACAGAGTTTAGAAGAGACTGGCTCACAAAAATCAAATTTTTCTACAAAATTGACAGATTGTGTTATGGATATCAACGTGTCCTTCAAACTCTAATTTCAGAATTTGTATTACTTATGACCATTTTTTATACAAACCTGTCAAATATACGATTTGAATACTCAGTACATAAGTTGTTTTTAGAGCTCAGTATGTTTGCTACTTATCACAAACCGTTCACGATGAGTGCTATTAGTTTTTCTTGTTCGTCAAAGAAGGTCAAACGCGGACACAGTCATTGGAATAATGAGTATCAAAAGTGTAACAGAAATAAATCTCAATACCCCTCAGAATTTAGACATAAGTGTCTAGTTCATTTTAAAATAAACAAGAATAGCATAACTATACTTGCAAAGAAATTCAAAAGATTTTTCATTATCTAGGAATAGAAATGTCCTATATTTTTGTAAAAGTTTAGTTAAGATCGGATGTATTGTGGAAGAAACAGCTCTCTAAAAGAGTCTACTGTACGCAGAAAATGAAATAGGAAACTTCCAAAAAAAAAAAGAAAAAAGTGGAAAACGACAATTTGTATTCATAATCCGCTAATTTTAGTGTCTTTGCTTTGTCAGACATAAGAAATAGAAATTTGATCTGCTACCACACTTATGTCTAATAAGTTCATTTCCGTATTAGTTTAATTTTTTTTTCTTCGTCTTCTGCGACTGATTGATCTTGACTATGATTTAATTTTGTTTATTTAAGATGTTCCAGTCTATAAATCGTATACACTAGAGGCCATAATTAATAGAATATAGTCTAAAGACGATTAAATTTTATTATTATCTAATTAAGTAAATATTAGACGAAATCATAGACCATATCTAACTTTCTCATTAATAATCATCATCAGAGTTGCAGTATCCTATTAATTTTTTGTTGTTCGTACAGAACACTTGTCTCGAGACGTTCTTATGTACACATAGAGATAGTATATATGGAAGATAGGAAAGGCATTCATTGACAAACAAAAGAAATCTTGCATCATTGTTATATAGTTCATTATGGGATATAGGAGAAAGACGAAGCATGTTTCGTTTATATATATATATGTATATATATATGACACACAATGAGAGTTCAACCAACTGATGGCACTTACTACCAACAATAGTGAACAGGTGACGTTCAGAGAATGCCTTAGAGTAGAGTACTAGTAGAGAACAATTAATTTCATTATTGTATGTGTGAAAGAAATACAACGACAACTCAATTTCTTGCTAAGTGTAAATCTCACTATCACTTAAAAAACGATCACTTAAACAAAAATTTTTAGCTTGTATTGTACAATTTGTTTCACATTTTGAAGTATTAAATCATAATTATCGTAATAATTATAAAATTTAGCAAAAAATTATCTTCGCCTTTTTATTCTGCTAATTATTAAAAATTAGGTTTAACGTCGTAGAATTATATACACGCATCATTAGATTTGCATGCTATGTCAGGTAAATTCTAATTTTAATCTAATAGGATATTATCCTTATTGTCTTTAAAAAGACAGTTTTAACAGAGCTAATATGATCCGAATTACAAATAAAGATATGATCATGTTTATACAAAACCAATCGTAATGGATATCTCCAGCACACTATGGAAAAATAAACTGTTTTTCATGAAAATAATTATTATTCTGTCTATAGTAGAGAAATTGATAAGAAATAAACAAAAAATTCCATTGCGGTTAACACACAATTAAGATTTTTCTAATAGATATGAAGACGAGAAAAGATAAATTGAAAGTACTTTTCCGAACTAGGAACAGAGTAGAATTTTCTTCTTCGTTCCCATACACGAACGAAAAAGAGTATATAAAAACAGTTTTTTTTTCAAAGAAAAAGGTCTTATCCACTCCACTAATAATATTATATGGTTTCGTTTAGAATTGTTGAGAATTTTTTCCATATTATTTGTTCTCTAATTTTTTATTTGACATACAATTCATATGTTCATTGAATATTTTCGTTTTATTAGAACGTGTTAAACAGATTTTCGTTTATGATTATTATCTTCACTTTACTTTTTTTGCTTTCCAATGTTTATTTTCACATAGATAAGTGATTTGTCTGGTCGAATGGATAGGAGTGAGTATCAACAATATGTCTATTCTAACACTTTTATATTTGTTTTTTAGAGAATGCACATCTCATGAGACTTACCATCATTTGAAACATAACGAAAATCCCAACTATCACTATCCATCGTCATTGTTGTTGCAGTACCGTTTTTTAAACATAATAACGTAATAAGAAATATAAAAACGATGTAATAGTCGAGTTGCATAGTAATCATTGAAAAGAGTTTAAAATAATAAAAAATAACACCGGTAGTTAAAGAATATTAACATGCCAAGTATAATTTTAATCGGTTATTGTTAAAATAGATCTAATAATCATTGTTAACTATATTCTGAAAGTAAAAAATACAAGAAGATAAATAAAAATTGAGTTTGGATGATATTATTTTTTAAATTTTTTTCTTAGATTTAATAGATTTTTAGATAAAAAACAGATGACAATTTTAGAAAAAACGTTTTTAAACGAGATGATCTACATGTTCATTCGATTCTTCGACCACCAAGAATCCACAAGTCTAAAAATGATTTGACATTTGTAACTCTATTAGAAATGATGATAGTCTCTACACAGAAAAAGTCAAATTTTGATTAAACTAAAATTAGATAAGCAGTACGACTTTTAGTTCTGAAAATTTTCTTCGGTAGAACAAGAAAATTTGAACTAAAATAGGATTTTCAAAGGTGATTTTAACGTTGAGAAGAATGTTTTTCAAACTAATATAAACAAAAATCTTACTGCTAATCAATTGGATAGGTACAAAAACAAGTTTTTTAATCATATGATCTTTGGAAGCATTTTAGACGATATTTTTGACATTATTCTATTAACAATTGATTATAGTCGTCTTACACATGTAATAACCTTGAAACAACATAGTGATGCTGTTTTGATCAAAAATACTTACAGCTCTTCTTTTCTTATGTGAATGGGCATGTAGACAGTATGGCAGGAAAACTAAATGTTAATTTATGCAAAAATTGTACAAAAATGAGATTCTATACACACATACATACACATTGTCCAAACTATAAAACGACTGCTCTCTATGTGTGACAGAGAGAATAGAGAAAAAGAAAAAGAATGTGTCCAGTAGAACACGAGAAGAGAAACGTCTATAAACGAAAAAGTCCTTGATTATATATATATACGAAAAAAAAAAAAAAAAAAAATGGACGAAAGATTTAATCTAAATACGGAAATAGATTTATCTCTGTCATAAGCATTAGAAACGAGTTCAATAAATTCTTTCTATTAATTTTCAATCACGAAATGTGCAAGGTCTTCTTTCTTGTACATTGTAAGTTTCTTGTCTCCTGATACATCTTGATTAGAATCAGAAATATGATGAAGTAATAAACGATTATATAATTTAGTATATTGGTCAGTTGTTTTATGATGACATACTACTAGAAGAAAAAGTTCGAGATAGACCGGTCTTAGCAGACATGTAGAATACGTTATTGCTAACGATTTATCGATCGAGCATCTCTCTATTTCATACCCTATTCTCAGGAAGAAAATAAGACGATGATGTTTAATGAGTTTAGATTAAATTTTGAATAATAAATAAAAATTTCCGTAAAACCATTTATTATTGTTAGTAATATATCTTTGTCATATTTAAACGGAGAATATTTATTGTCGATAGAAAAAGATCACTTTTTACGGAATGCTTAAATTAATACTAAATAAAAATGAATAGTGACAAGTTTAAACTAAATAAGAAAAGTAAAATAAATCATAAATTCTCAAAATACGAAATTATACTAGAATGCAATCTGGTTCAATTTTTTCACCATTATATATCTTCTAAATATATCTATTCGAATAATAATCCTCCTCCTTCTCTTTAGTAAAATTCATACATCAAAATTCAATACATATTTTTCTTGTTGTGCCATCATGCACACGACATATGATCATAATATACAGATCATCATTATTATTACTTTCTTCTTTATTTCACGTATATGTATATTACGAAATTTGCGTGACATTTATCTGTGCTTCAAAACACATTGTAATTTGAACTACTGGTAGTACTAGTTGAAACACCTCTGGTACAAATTTCATGCTTTAACACTAATTCTTTTTTCATTCATTCTTTTTCTACGATTTGTTGTTTTTTTTTTTGAACACTGAATTCTCACATTACATAATTCAAAAGTTCAAAAAAACATAAACTCTTTTTTTTATTGTCAAACTATTAAAATCACATACACACACACACACACAATAGAATAAACATAAAACGGAAACTATATAGGAAGAAGAATAGAAGAATGACTTGCATAGAGAGATAACAGATTGATTAATGAATGATTACGTGTATTTTCATAATCTTAGTAAAAATCTTTACAGGATAAGGTCAAATTACTTGAGCTTAAAGCTAATAAAATTGTATACGTACCTTGACTTAATGACCTCTCATACCTCAAAATCAAATTTTAAAGATACCTATATAGTGCGATTTAAAAATTATACATTGGAAGAATGTTGTTGATTTTTCTCTAGTATTTAAATCTTTCAAAAATTGACATTGAAGAGAAGCCAATGGTCATTTCCAAATTATAAATATTATATTCAAACTAATCTAACAAATGACTACATCTAGATTCTATTGTTAACTGTTGTCAACTACGACAAGTGTCAGGCCAATATTCGAATATGATTGTCCGCCTCTCTTAGAATTAGATAAAAATCGTCGAAAAAATATGTCTCTGGACTATATTATTTCCTCGATATATATTTTTTTTACGTATCAATATATTCTAGAGCGGAAAAGGAAATTTCTTTAATACAATGATCAATGTTCTCTCTCGCGCGCGCTCTTTCTCTCTCCTTGTCTAATAGCTTATTAATTCAACAACATCTAATAATGTACACACTGAGATCAATAAAGAAAATGTAATTTTAATTGATTCCATCTGTTGATCAATTCGAACAAGTGGTCACTGCAGCAGCTAGAAGAAAATAGCCTAGAGCATTCACAGTTAATTTTCAAAAACAAACAACAGAAGAAATAAAGGAAAAAGAGAGAGAAAGAGAGAGAAAAAGGCAGGACACTATTTTAGAAAATTTTAATTATGCTAACAACCGTTTAAGAGTATTTATTCAATTAGTTAATATAAACGATTTATTACAAGAAATGTTTGTCTTATAGTATAAACAAGCATATTCGACAGCGACAAGTGAATCTTCTACTAAAAAAATGAGAATAAAAACAATTACTTTTTTAAAGAATTATAAAAAACAATTGTATTTTGATACTTACCTTATCTTAGATAATGTTGTACTAAACGACTGACTATTACTTTGACTAATTTAATTCGATAATGTTTTTTTCTTTTTTCAAATAAATAATAATTATTTTTACTATTGAGACATTCATCATACTCTAGATACATACGTCTTCTAAGTAACATTAGATTAAAAGACATTTTGTTGGCCTCGTATTAATCAATATATTAAAATAGAAAAGAACAAAAAAAAGAAGAACGATATAATCTTTGACTAATTGTTTTCTATCTAGTTTATATTTTACTACTATTTTTGATATATATTTAATGTCAAAAACTTATATTCGGGTCGTCTACCTTTGTGTCATCAGTTTTTATTCAACTTTGTTTATATTCAATCATTCTGCCCGTAGTAAAGTCTAAACAATGGAGACACAGACATATGTTAATTCCTCAAGCAGAACACAATGATGATGATCATCGTATAAAACAATAATAACTAATTGATCGAGACGAAACAGGAAGACATATTTTATTTTTTCTTCTTCTTCTTCTCGAGGTCAATAAAAGTATATATAAACATCAAATGACAATACATGACAACGATACTTTTTCAAAGTCATTATTATAAGAGAAGATCGATGAACTAAAATAAAACAGAAAAAAAAAGAAAAATGTATCTCTTTATTCATTCATTGTTTGATAATGAACATTCATCCACACTATCATATTCTCATTGAATCAAAAATGATGATGAACAGAACACTAAAAAATAAGTTCATCACGTTTTTTTTTTGTTTTTTTTTGTTTTTTGTTCTGTTACAATTAATTATTAATTCGGGATGAACCCTGACATGTCAGTTTTATATTCTTTTTTCATTATGCAGATTGTACGCTTTAGGTGACATTGATCGGGTTCATATACAGTTATAATATATATATATAAATATAAAAAAGAAGAAAAAGGCTTAAGAGTAGATTTCTTTCTGTCGAAAAGTTTCTAGAGAAATAAAATAAAAAAAGAAAAATGTCAATTTCGATTATTCATATGACACTTGTAGAATTTCTCTACAATAAATATATTATATAATCATCTAAGATGAATTTGTTGTTCAATAGAATAACAAAAAGAATACTTTTCAAATCAACTTAATTACGTATCATTCTATGAATGAAAGGTGGTTGTTTTTTAATGTTGTTTTGATATTAACGAAAGACTCTTTTAAATTTTAGAGAATAATAAGGGTCAAATTTCTATGGTATCAAGGCATAGACATAATTTATCACAATAATCTTCTGGTAATGATCAAACTAAAGCAAAATATTCTCAAACTAGATGATTAACATCATGTATCATTTCTAGAGATATACATCATACTATACATGTACTTACCATATCGACAATTCTTACATTTTTCTATTATATATAACTGAATAAAAAAATAAAAATAAATGACAACCTAGGCATATTTAAAATTTACTCATCTAAATGTTATATACATTATTATCGATCTATCGATGTTCATAATCATATTGTCATTAAAAATCGTTGATGTAATCTTTTTGAAGACTAAAATTTTTATCTTAAAGTCATAATTTTCTTCTTCTTTAACACCTTCTAGTCACTCTAATGTTTTAAAACAAACAAAACACTTCGTCGTTACACCTCTTATTCAAATTGATAGGGAGGGTCTCACCTCATTCGATTTTTTTTCGATTAAATCATCGACTATATAAACCACAATCAAAATGTAATATAATCGAACAATTTTTCTTTACATAACTCTAAAATTTCCGAAACGAAGACCAACCTCAATGTCAATCACATATTGAACAAATAGATTGAAGAAAAAAAAAAAAATCATTTAAATAAACATTTAATTTTCATGCCGTTCAACCATAGGCAGGTGTGAAAGAAATATATATAGATTTTTTTCTTCTCTTCGTTATAATTACAAGAAAGAAAAGTCACACC